TGTGTGTGTGTGTGTGTGTGTGTGTGTGTGTGTGTGTGTGTGTGTGTTCTCTTCTTAATAAAGCCAGCAATCATTGGACTAGACAGGGCCCACTCTAATCCACTGTGAGCTCCCCTTTCCTTAGTAACATCTGCAAAGACCCTATTTTCAAACAAGGTCACATTCCAGGTTCTGGATGGACATGAATTTTTTCAATCCAGTATGTCTGGGAACAGAGCAGCCAAGGGCAGAAGAAATCAACCTGAGGATGAGGGTTGGATGCAGAGTTTTGAGAGAAGAGTGATCAGAACTAGGGTCTAAGCCACATTGTTCTGCTTTCTTGGGGGAGAATTTTCCCTTTTTCCTTCTGCCCTTTAGCCAGGGCTGCAGCCACCTCCTCTGTCATAGCTGGCTTTTAAAAGCCAAATGGATGCCACAACCTTCTAACGCATCTAGATCTGCAGCTAAAATATTCCAAAAATTCCAGCAAGGGTAAAATAATCTCAGGCCCAGATTTGCCACCAGTGCCCTCTTCTGGGCAGCTTTATTTTTAGTGGTGTCATGAAACACTTGTTTAATTGTCAATATATGTATGTGTGCACTGTCACCAGAAAATATATTTATGTCTGTTGGTTACAGCCTAAAAAGTTTAAGAAACCATGGTTAGATGTTTTCCTGGTCAGGAAAGGCCAAACTAAAAAGGGCTCTGTGTGTGTGTGTGTGTGTGTGTGTGTGTGTGCAAGAGAGAGAGATGGGGGCTCCCATTCCACTAAGGAGGGGTGTGTGTGTGTTTGTGTGTGTGAAACAGAGAGAGATGGGGGCTCCCATTCTACTAAGGAGATGACAGAGGCTGTGCAGGTGTTTTCTCTGTGATCTCCTCTCCTCCTACCAATCATGCCCAGAGGAGGGATCTCGAAGACTTGCCCCTGCCTCCCCAGACCCATCTCCACGCCCAGGGTGGCCTGGGCGAGGGCAGCAGAGCTCATATCTCTGCGGACAGGAGGCTGGGCTCACTGCAGGCCTCTGTGTCATTGTTCATCTTCGCTTCATAGGTCTCATTCTGAGGCCTCTCCTGACACACCGTGGCTATCTGGCATCGACAATATTCAAGATAAAGAAAATCATCAGGAACTGCCTACTCACCTCCCCTTCCCTCAGCAAGAAAGGCATCACACGTGCACATATACACACACGCACAAACACATGAACATGTGTACACACATAGGCACACACACACATGAACATGCTTGCAATTTCTGTGGCCTCATTTTCCTTTGATGGCTGATGAAGCCATGGAGCCAGGGAAGCATTAAGATTAGGGAGAGGGTTCCATGTGGGAGGATGTCTGCTGCAGATCCAAGGAGATCTGAATCCTGACCCCAATTCACTTACCCTTTGGCCCAAGTCACTTAGCCCACCCATGCCTCAGTTTCTCTTTCTATGAAATAGAAATGACATATGCCCTGCCTGACTCAGAGGCCTGTTGTGAGTCACAAAGAAAGCAACAGATGAGACGGCGCTTTGAGATTGGGAAGAGCCAGCCTTGACCGAAGGGTCTTGGGCTGTGCCAGAAAGGGTAAGGTAGGCCTGTGAGAAGGCTGCCCTCCCACCCCCAGCTGTAATAGCTGGGCCTTTGGGTGTTAGTTCGGCATAGCTGAGATGTCTGTGGCATCCTATTTTGATGGTGCCCTTGATACTGACACCAGCTCCCTGAAGTAAAGGCACAGAGAAGAAACTTCACTTAGGAGTGTTTCTTCTCCTGAGCAGAGGGCAGAGTCTGAGTCCCTACCGAGCCTGAATCCCTCCTGAACTCCAGACCCTCCCACAGCAGAACATGTCTTTCCCTATGAGTCAAGGTTCCTCTGCTCACTGGGTCCTATCTTCTTTAGCTCGGAGCCACGAGCTCTTCCTTTTCTTGTCTGTGCTCAGCCCAGTGCCTCCCTCCGTCTTTATCCTCAGACTCCAGAAGGCATCAGGGAAAGACCCCAGTCCAGCCTCTCGGAGCTGAGTGCTGGATCAGTGCCCTAGCTTTGAGCATCTCAGGCAGGGTAGAGGCAGTTCTTTCTCAGGGACGCCTGCAGATTCCCACCTGCCCTGCAGTGGGAAGGAAAGATGAGAGATGGGAGCTCCAGGTGGGCTGGGAGGGGAGGGAGATGGAGTGGGCTTTGGTGAGGCACAGGGGGATGAGCTTGAGATGCAGAGTGGTAGCAGGCAGGCAACAGCATTTCTGGGGACCACAGGGCCCAGGACGTGCTGGCCTGTTCTCAGTACAAGCAATGCCAGGGCCTGTGCTGCCCTTAGCCTTGAGGACAAGCCCCGGGAATTGGAATGTGGGCTAATCTTTTCTTCACCAAAATAACGCTTGGTGCCCTGAATGTTGTTTGTACCAACTGCAGTGGGCAGAGAGGGAACCAATGAGCACTCACTGTGTGTTGTGCACTGTGGGGTGCTTTGCGTTTTGTTTCATGGAGAGATGTACTTCTGGGGAGAGGGAAACCCCTGAGAATCCCCTGTCTCCTCTAAA